TGTAATTAGAATTTGATTAATAAAGGAGACATGCTTCAAAATAAATAGGTAATGATGTTTATCAGCGTATCAAAGCATTAGCCAAAGCAATTAATTTTATCTTAAATTACAGTTAGTGTTTACACAAAGTGCTAAGCTGTTTTTTTCTTCAGTAAATATTTCTGCTTCTTATGTGCTCTCATTTGTTAAAATGATCACAAAGTATAACAAAGGAAGACCTAACACTGGATTTCATTTGTAATACAAACTAATTGCTTCAGTACTATAGAGGACATGAAGGAGAGATCAAAATTTCACGTATAAGAAAATAAAGGGATGGGATAGAAAATTGTGTGGGAGAAGAAAAACATCTTAAGGTGGAGGTAAGAGGGAATGTAAAGATACTCCATGTATTCAACAATATACTTGAACACTTAATTTGCTAGTGTTAAGGATATAGTAGTGAAAAGGTAGGACAAGTCCTTTTTCCTATAGCTTACATTATGGAAAAGGAAACCCACATTCTGATAAAATAATGTCCAACAGTGATAAAATTCTTTGAAGAAAATTGAGGTATTGAGAGTGATAGTGGGAGAAGAGGTGGATTTTTTTTATTTTTTATTTTTATTTTTTTGCGGTACTGGGGATCAAACTCAGGACCTTGCACTTGCAAGGCAAGCGCAGTGCTACTGAGCTAAATTCTTAGCCCAGGTGGATTATTTTAGAAAGGACATTGAGGCATAGACCTGGACAGAGTGAAAATTTAAGCCCTGCAGCTGTCTGGGATACATTGCCAGGCTGAACACCAGTAGCTATACAAAGAGGTGCATATGACAACTCAGGCTGTGAGTGATACCAGCTTGCATTAGAGCAGCCTTAGGTATTGCTTTTCTGCTGAATACTTGTAGCAGCCTGACATAGTAACAGTACAGTTCGGGTGGAAGGTGTTATAGTCCACACTGGGCAGCTGTGGGAGCCTACCTATGGTAATAGCTTCGCACCTACATGAGCCAACATCTGTTACAACTCTGTAACAAATAGCTAGGCTTCTAATTTAGAGAAGCCCCAAGTATGGCATCTCCATCAGGTCTTTATAGTTCTCCAGTTTATATACAGTCTACCAGTCAGGGTCATTTCATCACATAAAGTGTTACCTCGAGCTCCTTAATTTAAGAAGGTCATGTTTTCATGTAGCGGAAAATAGTTTGGCTACTTTTTTTCTCCACAGCTTTGTTGTGTATTATTCTTTGATTACTACTCACAAAAGTTCATCAAGCTACCTGGGTATGGTGTTCACACCTGTAATTCCAGCACTTGGGAGGCAGAGGCAGGAGGATTGCTGTGAGTTTGAGGCCAGCCTGGGCTACATAGTGAATTCAAGGCCAGCATGAACTAGCAAGATCCTGTCTCAAACAAAACAAAACAAAACAGAACAAAAATTCATCAGGATTTGCCAGTTTTCAGGTGTGGGAATAAGTTAGTGGTAGGATTTAGATGTAAATGAATTCAAAACACTTGAAGAAAAAAAGAAACCACTGAGGTGTTTCCTCCAGGAACTTGCATCTCAGACTGTGGTCACCCATCCTCCAAGTCCTCGCTCTCCAGCCATCTGTAGCATCACACCACCTGGGAACTTGTTGGAAATTCAGGTTCTCAGGCTTACAGAATGAGAAGCTCTAAGCTCAGAAATCTAGTTTAATGAGCCCACTAGGTGATTCTTATGCAAGCTTAAGTTTGAGAAAGAGTGCTAGAGGGTACCAAGTCAAGTACCAAGTAAAGCCAATTCTTAGAGGGATTCACTGTCTGGAAGAGAGGCAGATCCAACAGTATAGAAGTGCAAATAGAGACATAAAGGATATGTGTATGTATATATTCATTCACTATAAAAGAAATGTGAATCAGCCTTGGCAGAGGATTATCCTGGACCATGAGCACACAGGTCCTAATCAGAGTTTGTGCTTAAAGTGTTTTAAGCATTGCACAGATTTATGGGTTAATTGACTTTGGTGGTGAGTTAAGCTAACCAGTTCCAGACAACCAACTTTTAATAGATTTTTAGAGCATAGTTGATAAATGTTATTAATGGTTTCTAGATATGAAGATAACTTGATTTCTGGGGAGAGTTGTAGAGTTTTAGATTTTCAGAGCTGCATTTTAAAAGGCCATAATGTTTCAGTTCAGTTTATTATTTAAAGATTAGTTTCATTTGACATTTTCATTGAGTCCATTAAGGGGAAATTATTTATTTTTGTAGAGAGTTTAGAAAAGGCAATTTGTATAAATTGATTTTATCATGTCAGTGATGAACTTCAGTGATATAGAAGTTTTATATATGGGCTGGGGATTTAGATCAGTGGTTTCGACGCCTGCTGCGCAAGCGCAAGGACCAGAGTTCAATCCCTGGTACCAAAAAAAAAAGTTTTATATAATTCTGAAAATCCCCCAAATAAATTGAAGTTAAACTCAATTTAATAACAAGTGCTGCATAACATATTTAACAAATGCTAATAAATTATAAAATCAACATAGTAGATGTTTTATCTGCTAAAGATTTGAATCAACTTTTCAGGGAAAATGTTACTATGACAGCAGAGGATACTATTGTGTTAGAACTGTGATCTGTAAAAGACTAAAGCTAGCATCTGTAGACTTGGCTTTTATTTTTCAGCCAAACTTTGAGTATAATTATTAAAAAAAATTAAAGTTGAACTACACCCCCTACATTGGAATAATATAGATGATTGATGTTATTTTGGAAAAACAGCAGTTTTGACTTGATTCTTCTGTTGCATTGTGTATTTATTTTCTGAATCTTTTTAGTTTATGCTTTTGAGACAGTATAAAAAAAATCAGAGTCCAAAGTTTTTAAGATTTTAAATTAGTTTCGTTCTACTCATCCTTCTACTGAATTAGGAATCCTTTCTTACAGTAGCTCTCTCAGTTAGTTACTCAGTTCCATTTGGCACTGTCTGCACTGTCTGTATATTTGTGTGTGTGTGTGTGTGTTTACACTTGTGACCACAAAAAGACTGTCTGTGTCTATAAATCCACTTGTATTCCTGAGAGGAAATCCATTGTAGGGCATAACAATTGTACTGAATCATCTCAAAGGTCACTGGAAATTGGATGCGCTGGTTTCCCCTGGAATAATCTTTCTGCCCCTGCCTACGATACTTTCTGTTTAGATCATGGTAGGCAAGCTTTTGACTTGCCTGGACTGTGTTGAATGGTGAGGAATTGTCTTGGATTGCATATAAAATATAAAATACAGTTAATATATGTAACAAAACTTCCTTTTTATGTTTTAACTTGTTAAATTATTTTATAAAATAACAGAAGCCTAAGTTTAAGAATTAAATAATAAAACTGTTTCACTTGATCCTAGCCAAAAAAAGAAGCAGTATATGCTTAGTAACAGTAAACACCATAAACATGCGATAGCCCACACATGCAAGTAGCCTGAAATACTGTTACAGATAATTGCTGCATTTGACTCCCCGAGTTGCACAAGTGCAGGTAATAAATGATTTATGAGGGTTTTGATTGTGTATGGTGGGCCCAGGAGGGAGTTAGCACTGCACTTTGCCCTCCCCTACACAGCATTCTGCTGTTGCCTACACAGTCTGAACTTGAGCACTGTACAGTTGAGACATGAAAAAATATCACTAAAAATCACATAATAATATTAAAAGCATATAATCTTGTGGGCTTGCATTACTAGCTGTGCAGCCCATGGGCTGAGGATTGGACAGGGCTGATCTAGATAATTTCTTCAGTAGGAGCATAGGCTTGATGGTTTCATACAGAATGAATGGATAATTATAATAGGTATTTGAACCAGTTTACTCACATTCTATACTTTATTAACATAACATAACATCAGCATTTCTTATTTCAAGCTATAATTCCACATAAGTGAAATTGAGGAAAGAATTGGCAGTGGTCGGTTTTTTAGTAGTATGTTATTGGGAATTCCTTTTGCTGTAACATTCACCTGTATAGTCTTACATGGCATGCACATCTGCCTGTAATAGTGATCAGCTGTGAAAAATTCAGTCCTACAATATTTGAGATCTTGCTGCCTGATGAACTTCCTTTTATAAACTTGCTTATCAATGTAGGATTTAATGGCATAATATCTGTGTTTATTCACACAATGCCTTTGGGAGGATACACAAGGAACTGGACCTTGGTTGTCCCTAGGAAAAGAACACCCCATGTTGAAGGTCTGAGATGGGTGGTGTATTCTTTTATTCTATCTGAATTTTGTTCTATGTATGAGAGTTACTCAAACAACAATAAAACAAAAGTAATAAACAAAGTAAATAGTAAAACAAAGTAAATAGTAGCAAAGGGAAAAATAAATGGAAAAAGTGGGTAGTCTGTGGATATAATTCTGTGTAAGTATAATCTTGTGGCCTCTATTTGTGTTTCTTCTCATAATTGTTAAGCTCTCTCACTTGATTGATGGCTAAATTTGATTAGAATTCTTTTCTAGGTGGTACTTACATTCTAATATTTTATCTTCTTTTTGTTCCTTCCAATTTCAAATGATAAGAGATTTTCCAGGTTTCTTTCTTTCTTCTTTTTCTGGTACCTGGGATTGAACTCAGGACCTTGAGCTTGCAAGGCAGGCGTAGCACCATTGAGCTAAATCCCTGGTCTTCCAGGTTTCTTTTTGAAATGAGATCTGTTCTTGATTTGGAATGAAAGTTAGGAAAAGTGTTACTCAAGAATAAAAGGACTGTGTGTGAGTACTCTTCCACTGTAACTAAGATAAAAATTTTTAAGGTATCTTATATGAATTTATGGGTTTTTACTTTAATGTGCTTAAATTTCTTCCCATATTTTCATGTATGAACCTGATTAAGTTCATTCTTAGTGTTTCATTTTGAAAAGAACGAAACTTTAGCAAACCTCTTTACATAACATATGAATTATGTTGAAGTGTTAGGATATTATTATATCATTGTATTTAAAAAATTTACAAGTTTCTTTTTTCTTTTTTTTTTACTTTTTAGCCGGCCTCAGAAAGTGTGTTTGTGTCCCTTTCTTCCAGTGCACCCTTTGCGCATCTCTACCCATTTGTATATAATTCAGCATCCAGCAGAGGTAAGATTATGTGAACTATATAATTTCAAATAAAATATGAAAGCACAAGAAGAAACACACAGATAAAGATATCCTTCCCAGCTCTTTAGTATTTTTGAAAAAGATAATATTTACTCTTCAGGAAAAATTTTATGTATGATATGATAGTATAGAGTCAAACTCTTTGGAGATGGATGATATTTCATAAACTTATTGAATAATATAGAAATTTAGAACTCCAGAAATTTCAAACAAAGATGTAAATTTTTGAGTACAGAGCTAAGAAAATCACTGCTTTCTAAAAGTTTGGTCATAGCTTGTTTGTGGATGTCGTTTCTTGTTAAAGTAGAAGTAATTTTAGCATTTTAGTCTTATAAAGTGAATATGTAAATTTTGGGTTTCTTTTAGATGAACAAAACAGTTATGTATATCTTATGTTATATTTAAAGAGTTTATTTAATTAATACTTTCCTATTTTGGGTTGGAATTATATGTATGCCATTGTGTGTGTGTGTTTGTAATTCTTGATAAATTGTAGTAATGAGAAGGGAGAGAAGTCATAGTAAACTAAAAAGCTAGTCAATGTGTAGTATAAATGGATTTAATGTAAGCTGGAGTTAAAGCCCAGTATTTAGGAACTCAGGATACCTTACACCCAATCTCACTTTTGAAGAGGAATAACTGTTTAAATGTCAAAGCCTTTTTTTAATCTTGAAGACTTTAATAAAGATATAAAGAAAATCAATTTGCTTTTTTTCTTTTTCCAGTAATGACTTTTTCTTTTATTGCAAATTGTTAAATATTCCATTTGTTGAGCAGCTTTAAAAACTTTTTTTCATTGTTTCTTTTTTGTTATCAGAGATTGAAAGTCTTAATAACACCATGCCTTTGTTAGGATTCTGACAGTTTGGTCACAAGCATTATATTAACTGCATCTAAGCTTATAACATTGTGCAGCTCAGACTTACATAATGATAGCTTGCTGGCCACAGCAGTTTTGCAAATACTGTTTATATTTCACAGTATATATAATATGGTGCCTTTTCATTTTTATGTTGTTCCAGACATAAGATAACTTTTAAAACATGGATGTTTTCATTCATTTGTGACAATTTTAATCTTTTCAAATCTCCAAAATTTTTTTTTACCAAAATTAATTTACAGTCTAGAAAAATCCATTAAAAATAGTGTGTGCTACAAATGTATTTTATGCATGTACACGTATACTCATGTTTTCCTTATTGAAAAGGAACTACAGTCCTCATCTAATTCAGTAATACTGGACTACTTGTGCTTAACTTCAGCAAGCTATTCTTGATAAAAGAAATGCCAATTTGACGCTGCCGCCGTAAAAAAGTGATGAAAAACCATTTGGAAAGGCTCTAGAAGGGAGTGTTGGTGGGGCAGATGAGATGAGGTGATATGATAGAGGATTTCAAAATGTGGGTGTATGAATATAGAAAATGACTTAAGGATAAAAACCACAAGTTAAAAAAAAGGAAATTAAAAATTATTTTGAATTAAGTGGTATATGTACATACATACATATACATATAAATACAAATGACATACACATATATATATATATATATATTTCCCCCCAAAGTCATGAAAATATATTTTCAGAAAATTAAAAGCTTTTTAAAGAAAAAAAATAAACAACAAGTTAACTCAAACGTAAAAAAAGCTTTACAGAGGCTGGGGATTTAGCTCAGTGGAGCTGGTGCCTGCCTCAAAAAGCACAAGGTCCTGAGTTCTATCCCTGGTACCAAAGAAAAGAAAAAGCTTTACAAACGAGAAATGTAAAACTCCTTGGCCTTTGTGAATAATGTATGTTTAGGTATAATGATGTCAGCATTATTTATTGGTTTGGCTTAACCACTCAACAGTTCAACCTGAGTGTCACTGGGCAGTGCGCTTGTTTTATGTACTGACTAACCGGAGTGTTGCTTGGGCAGGAGTCATTTTAACCAGTCGATTCTTGTTGAGTAAATTTGATAAATTTGTTGTTTCTATATTTCCTGTTATCTTATAAGAATTAATGAAAAAATGCAATTTTCTGTCATCTTATTTTTAAATAATTGGACTGGTAAGTGGTTAAAATATGAGGTGAGGTTAAGGAGGGTTAAAAGAAACTTAAATCATCGTTTGTTGTGAGAGGCTGCAGTTATAAAATGCAGTAGTTGAGGTGAGGGCTGAGCCAGATTGCCTGAATTCAGGTGCTTAATAGCTTTGTAAACTCTGTAACTATGGGCAAATTAATTAACCTTTGCATTCGTTAGTTTCCTCATTAGTAAAATTGACCCAATAAAGATATATTTCTTTTCTGGTTTATTTTGAAAAGTAAATGAATCTCTCTGTATGTGTCTACATATTGCACTTAGAGTTGCGTACATTCATGTTAGCTATTATGGTGATGATAATTGGTAGTTTACAGGTAATATCTAAAATTGATTAATGAAAAAATAGGGATACATATATGGGATAGAGATAACTTTTAGAAGAAATAGGTAAAAAAGTTAAAGCAGTTGCCTGTTGGAAGTGGTACTGGGGAGTGTATCTGGGGACAGCTGTGGCACTATGCAATTTGACATATGTACATTTATTACATTGATGAAAGTTTGGAAAGTGACTAAGTCTATATTGAAGTTTCATAGTGATGATAAGGAGGGAAGAACGTTATGAGAAATATTGGAAAATTTTCTAAACCCACCTATGGCCTATATAGTAGTTAACCATGTAGAATTCTTTTGGCAACAAGAAAGTTTGCAGTGCTGTGGCTAGAACCTAGGGGCTTGTGCATGCTAAGTGAGTGCTCTACCGCTGAGTCACACGTGCAATCCCATCATAAAAGTTTTAAAAGTGTGTTTATCTAAGTTAAAATCTATGTTTTAATTAATTTTTTTGCTACAGGAAAACAAAGTATTGAGGACTGTTCCTTTGTTAGAAGCATGCCTCCCCCAAGACAAGTGTAAAATAAAGATTGGTCGTCGCTTCAGTGAAGAAAGGTAAATTAACTTTTAGTGTAATTTAAAATAGTTCTCCTTTACATAGATCTTTCTTTGGGAGAGTTAAAATTATGCCACTGGTAGTTGGAGTGGAAAGCCTTGATAGAGAACAATCATGAAGTTTGGAAAGCTTAGAGAGTGGCAGAATTGCGGCTAATGACTCAGACTGAACAAAATTTTGAGACTTTTAATTCATATTTTATTAACAATTAGTATATTTATTTAAGCAGATAATTAGAGGAGAACTTTTATTAGGAATTCAATAAACGTAATAAAACTTTATTTTCCCCACAAGCTAATAAAGTATGTTAAAAATTTTTTTTTAAGAGATATTGAACTTTCAACTGTCTGCCGGAAGTCTGGTACATTAATATTGTATCCAGGGGCTGAAGCTGCTAATTTGGAAGAATTTATATTAGATTCTCCTGTCTATCCTTCTACAATCATCATCATTGATGGTACATGGAGCCAGGCTAAGGACATTTTCTATAAAAATTCCTTGTTCCGACTTCCCAAACAGGTAAACTACTGTTTTAATAGAGAATCAATACAAATGTATAATTATGTTTTTTGTGAAGTGGTATACATAAATTTTTATATATGTAGTTGTATTATGTGTAAAATTATGTACATAGATATGTATATACTTGTTTTTGATATAGGTGTATATGTTTCTATTATATATGTATAAAATTTCAAATTTGTCATACTTTTCCAACTACTACTGCCATACTTCACTGTCAGGTAAACATTTTGGTATATTGAGTTTTTCAGCTACATGAGCTGTGCGTGGTAGCACACGTCTGTATCTCAGCACTTGGGAGTCTGGGACAGGTGGATCACTGAGTTTGAGGCCATCCTGGACTAATTGTGAGTTCAAAGCCAGGCTGAACTGCATAGTGAGACCCTATCTCAAAAAACCACCAAAAAAGGGGTGGGGGGGAGCGCTTCAGAGACTTTTAATCAGAGAAATCTCAGGATTATTTATTTATTTATTTTTTGGTTCCGTGGATCGAACTCGGGACCTTGAGCTTGCCAGGCAGGCAGCAGCACCACTGAGCTAAATCCCTGGCCCTCAGGATTATTTATTCTACATGCATTAATGTTTTTTTATTAAGGACTATTGTCATATTTAAATACTTTAATTACTGAATTACCTAGTTCTCAGTAATGACTAAAGTTTTTTGAAAAAAAATTATTATGATATGAATTTTCATTCAATTTTTCTAATTATTAGTTGTGATACATTTCCTAATACTGGATCATTCTGTGTTTCTGAAATGAACTCTACTGAGGAGACTATCAAAACATTTTGAGATATTTTGCTGAGGATTATATTTTATTTAATGGCATTGGCTTATAATACAGTCTATTTTTTTTGTATTTTTATTATCAAGTTAGGGTATTAAAGTAATGTTAACATTCCAAAATAAATTAGAAACATTTTAATTTTTTCCTATGGACTGGAATAGTTTAAATAATATTGGAATTAATTGCTCCTTAAAAGTTAAATGGAGAACTACAGAGCAAGACCCTATCTCAAAAAAAAAAACCCCAAAAACAAAACAAACAAACAAATTAGATGGAACTCAAGGCAACCCATTTTCTGGTCCTCCTTCTGTCTCTCTTAGACAGAAGCTATCTTTCTCTCAGTAAAATTTTCCTACTCTTAAAAAAAAATTAGATGAAACTCATTGATAAAACCATCTGGATCTGGTCACTTTAAAAATGGTAGCTTTTAAATCCTTTCAGACTCTTCTATGGAAATTATTCAAGCTTTCTTATATTTGGATTCATTTAAAAATAATGTTTTTATTTCTCTAGGGAATTTTTTTCTTTCCAAGTTAGCAAATTGGTTGGCATATATTAACATACATTCCTAAATATTTTATTCTCCTAAAAGTGTTTTTTATTTCTAATTATATATACACAAACACATATGTTTTCTATAAATATTCAAAAGAGGTTTCTGTTTTATGAGCACTTAGAAGTCTAAGCTCTTAGATTGTTTATGATGGCTTTTATACTTTATTTTTTACTTTATTTATCTTGCCCTTTATAAAAGTTTAATTGTATATTACAGGGTACATGTGATGTTTTGATACATGTATTCATTATGTCATGATCAAGTCAGGTTATTTAGCATACCCATCACTGCAAACATAGCACTCTTTATGGTGGAAACAGTCATATTCTCTCTTGTAACTGTTTTGAAATATATTCTACAATATTGTTGACTTTAGTCACCCTGCTGTGCAGTTAAATATCAGAACTTAACTTTCTGCCTAACTTTGCACATTGACCTGTTTCTCCCTTTCCCCCCACTCTCTACCTCTGTCCTCTAGTAACCACTATTCTACTCTCTGTTATGAGGTGAACCTTTTTAGATTCCACATATGAGTGTGAACGTGTGTCATTTTGTTTTTCTGTACCTGACTTGACATGATTTTCTCCAAGTTTGTCCATGTTGCTACAAATCAAAAAATTTTATTCTTTTTTATGGCTGAGTAGTTTGCTGTTATGTACATATACCATATTTTCTTTACCCATTCATCCATTGATGGACACTTAGATTGCTTCCATACCTTGGCTTTTATGAATAGTGTTGCAGTAAACATGGGAGTACAGATATCTCTCCAACATACTGATTTCCTTTCCTTTGAATATATACCTGGTAGTGTAATAATAATAGTTCCGTTTTTAGTTTTTATTTTTCTCTTAAATTCTTTTATTGGTACATTTTAGGAATACAATACATTTACATTCATCATTGGGAACTTGTACCTTTACATGATGTATCTTGGTTCTTATTTTTTCCCCATTC